AGGCTAAAAGAAAAAAACACTCAAACGGAAAAAGAGCCTCGCGGTGGGGCCTCCTGCTCTCCCCCTCATGGAGGAAGGGGGGAAACAAACAAAACACGGGAAAATAAACAAAGCGGCCAATTGTGCCCGCCGCTCCAATGCTGCTGGGGTTTGCCCACAACGCGAAATAAGAAAAAAACAACTGATCCATCCGGGGGCTTTTATGTGGCGGCCGGGCTCGCAGGGAGCTCGCGTAGCGGCAGGCCGCAGCCGCCGCGCCCCGCAGGAAACAGAGCAGTTAACGCGTGCAGGAAACAACAAGAAACAAACAAACAAGCACTCCACGTTTTCCTTCGGCCTCCTCCGGCCCATGCACCTCCCAACGGAATTCCAACACGGAAATAAACAAATACATAAAGAAAGAGGGAGCGGCGCAGGGTGGCCACCCGCCCGAAGAGCAGTTTAATTAAAAGGCGGGAGGCACGGGGGCCGTCACGCCGGCGCCGCCTGCGGCCCCACACGCCGGCGGCAGGCCGCAGTTACACGCGCCGACGAACGTGGACGGTGACAACCGGTTCCTCCATCGCGGACAATGACGACCGGCTGAAGCTGCTGTGTGGCTGACGCCTCCCGAGGCTCTCATCTCCCCCAACAGCGGGGTTGAGTGCGTGCAGCTCATCGTCACCGCGAAAGAAGGACATGAGCGGCATAGACGTTTTACGCGGCTCGCTTTCAAGTGAAGCTTTATTGGCGCTTTTCTCCATCACGCGGCCCATTTTCGCCGCCAGCCGCCCCATCGCCACGCGGCAGGCGTCCTCCTCACGCGTCGCTGCAACCGCGTGCGGCACGCCGACCCTCCACCGCTCGCAGAGAGGACGCAGCACCCGCAGCCGCTGCGGGGCCGCGAAGGTGCCGAGCAGCACAGCCAATACAGACACGATTGTGTGCGAGACGCCGCTCATGGCGGTGGACGCGGAGGCCTCGTCGCTGCTTGACGTGTCCCCGCCTTCGTCGTCAAGTTCCGGCAACAAACGGTCGAGGCGCAGCGCAGCGAAGGTGCGCCCTGGCACGGCGTCCAGCTGGTACAGCTCCACCGGCTTCGGCACCCCGCGCAGCGCCACCGCGCCCAGCGCCGTCACCTCCAACTGCTCGCGCTCGGTTGCGCTCAGCGCCATGTACGCCGCACGCGTCAGCAGCACCTGCCCGCCGTTCCCCACGGCCTCCGTGCGCGCCGCCATGTTCGCCGTTTCGCCGTAGTAGTCGTACCCCCTCGTCACCCCGTCGCGCCGGATGTCGCACAGCCCGGTGTGCACCCCGGAACGCACCCGCAGGCCGTTCCAGCGCTGCCGGTACACCGCGGCGTCCAGACGCGCCGTCGGCGGCACGTACTCCTCCGCGTCCTCCTCCGCCCGGCCCTCCTCGAACTTGCGGTACGCCTCGTCGAGCGCGCCCGTCCCCCAGTCGTGCTGCAGGAACACCTGCTGCAGCTCCCGCACCAGCTGCACCGCCGCGAACACGCTCTTGCACGCAATCACGAACGAGTCGCCGACCGTCTTCACCTCGTAGCAGCGGTACTTCGTGATCAGCGCGCGGATCAGGCGGTGGTGCGTCGCCACGGCGTCGGGCATCAACTGCGAGCACGCAGCCCACAGCGCCGTGCTGCTCTCGATGTCGGTGAACACGAGCGTCACGGGGTCCGTCGGCTCCTTCGGCGCATTCGC